CCTCCCCTTCAGCGTCTGTGAGAACCAAACTCATGGGCTTCCCCCTCCGTGTCTGTGAGAATCAGACTCATGGGCCTCCCCCTCCGTGTCTGTGAGAATCAGACTCATGGGCCTCCCCCTCCATGTCTGTGAGAATCAGACTCACGGGGCCTCCCCCCTAGTCTCTGCTCCCTGCCCTGTTGGAGCTCGTCCTGTCCCCATGCTTCCTGCTGTCTGTGTGCCCCTGCCCCCTCTCCCTGTGACAAAGCCTGGAGAGAAGGCTGAGGCCCACGCTTCGTCCTGGGCCCCTCCCACCCTCCCTGCACACAAGGTCTCGGTATCCACTGCTGCCCAGGGGACTGCGGCCGGGAGCGGGCCCCCATCCAAAGAGCAGGTCATAGGCTGGCAGTAACGGGTGGGTGTGCGGACAGGGGCACTGTGGCCTCTGTCACTGCCCTCAATGCTCCTCTGTCTTCTTGGAGCTTCCCGGCAGCAAGAGGCTGAGCAGAGGTGGAGAGAGGAGACATTGTCCTCCAGAGACACTCTCCCCTCGAGCCGGGAGGAGACTGCAGCCTCTTTCAGCTGTTTCTGCCTCTTTCCATAGTGGCTCAGGCTCATCCTTCGGGCTTCCCTGCCCAGGGAAGTCCTCAGAACGCAGCCTTAGCCGACCACAGGGCCATACCAGGAGCTGCTCCACTTTAGGGACTCACCTTTCGCTCCCCTTCCAGAAACAGCTCAGCCACATCCAAACCCCTCACCCCAGCAAGGGAGAACTCAGCTGACATGGAGTTGGGGTGCAGCCTGTCAGCCCTGCCCTAGACACAGCAACTAGTTAAAGAAGCCAGACCAACCCACCATTAGGACAGGCTGCGGGTAGAATGGTCCTAGAAGCCAAAGGCAAACAGAGCACCCTGGACTGGTTTGTGGAAACTTAGCTGCCTGCCCCAGACGGTTTGTGGATGGGTCAGCTGCCACCTCCCCACACACACTCAAGAACCTGGTCCTGGCCACCCCCATGGGCAGAACTGAGGAAGGATTGCTGGTGGTGGCAGCAGGAACACTGTGCCTTTCACCCCCTCCTCCATTTCCCTCTAGGGGTGGACACTGACAGCCCAACAGTCCCCAGTCACAGCCCCTTCCCTGGGACAGCCCTGTAGAGACTCAGAGAACGTCCATCCCTCAATGTGGCCGGGAGACTGGACCCAAGTTGCTGTTAACACCAGTGTGTTAACACTCTCCAGCAGCCCAGCCCACCTCAAAGGGGACGTTGCCAGTGGGGATGCTGCTGAGAGCACCCTCTTTAGACTACAGGGTCTCAACATGCCTCGGAAGCTTTGGTCTTGCACTGGTCAGCAGACAGCCACCACCCCCAGGAAGAGCCATGCCGCTGGGCTGTGGTTTGGAAAAAGCAAAGAAGTGGCCTGCGTGTGGCCACTGCCTCCCTGCTCACAGCCGGCTCAGCCTCCACAAGGCTGGTGGGCCCCCATCTGGCTGTGTGGCATGGCTCCACGGCTCTGGCCAATTCTGGGGGGAGATGTTTAGAAGACCTCTGACATGATGGGTAGGTCTCAGGAGTCCCCCACCAAGTGGGTCCTGGCTAAGCAAAGTCGTGGGGTCTTACAGCCCTCGAGTGGATGTGTTCCATGCTGACACTGTCTCTGTTTGTTGCCTACCTGGCTCCTGAGAAGGAGCCAGAGAGAGGAGAGGGGGACCTGAGTCCTTGTCTGTGCCTGTCAGCACTCATCTTTCGAGTTTGGATGTCTGGTGTTCAGAAAGAAAAGAAAAGAGCCTACAGGGCTCTGAAAATACTTGCCCACAAGGCAGGACCCACGTGGTTGCTGCAGGCCTGGCTGTGGTGCGGCAGCCGTGGATCCTTCCTGGGGGTGTCAGCTCCACTGAGCAGTGAGCACAGCTCTCCCTGCATGAGGCTGAGACACCTGTGGACTCAGCCATCGGACATCAAAGAGCCACTAAATTCACATGTGGGGAGAAAATACAGAGGCCCAGGAGCCAAATCTAAAGGCATTTGCCCCAAGTGGCAGGGCCACACAGCCATGCACCCCGGGTACGGCCCCTCTGCTTCTGTGGGTGACCTCCCTGCTGTCCATCCCATGCCGCCAGCTGTGTCTTCTTCTACTTTAACAGGTGAGCATGATCTTAACTCTGATGGTGCCGTACTACGCCATTGACACGGAATCGCCACTCATGGAAATGTTTGTGGCCCACGGATTCTATGCTGCGAAGTTCATAGTAGCCATCGGCTCGGTCGCAGGACTGACTGTCAGCTTGCTGGGCTCCCTCTTCCCAATGCCCCGGGTCATTTATGCCATGGCTGGTGATGGGCTCCTTTTCAGGTAAGGGCCACATCCTGTGGAATTTATTCTGCTGCCATGTCTGTCCAGGGAGCATGTCCCACACTGGCAGCCTGGTGTGACTTTGATATGAGGGCCGTTCACAGACTGGGACCAGGCCTGTTTTCAGGAAAGAATCTGAGTGAAAAGACCTGAGGCCTGAAGCAGCCCCTCAGTGTGATTCTAGGTCCCCCATCTGCCCCTCCCTTTGTGTGACATGGCGCACCCTTTGTCAAGATGACAGATGGCAAGCTGCTGCCCTGGGGGCCTCCAGAAGGAAGGCCCCTCCCAGGCTGCCCTCACACTGAGGCCAGTGATGCCCCTCTCACCACAGCCCTCTGACGTTAGAAAATCAATAATTAAAGAGGAGAGAAGACTCTCTGAGGAGAACCCAGTCACAGCAGCAACAGCAGCTACCACCTGGGGACACCTGCCTCCTGGCGCTCTGCACGCCGTGTCCCACTCAGTCCTCACAGTGGTCCTGCTCCGTGGATGAGTATCCAGGACTCGGGTGACAACCTGCCCCAAATCCCCAGCTGCCTAGTGGCAGGTCAGGGTTTGAACCCAGAACTATCCAACTCCAAAAAGCAGGCTTATAGCTGCACCAGCAACAGACAGTTGTAGTCCCCTAAGGTGGCCATGGGGTGGCCTAACTGCCCAAGGCACACAGGGGATGTGGCCTCCACTCTGGGTCTCCAGCAGGGGGGGCTTGCAGGGAAGGCAGTCACCACCTGCATGGGGTGAGGAGCAAACGTAGGGGGCCACACAGGGTCACCCGCTGTGGCCATTGTCTTCTGCCACATCTGTCTCCTCAGGCACCTCCCAAAGTCATCACCAGGCCAGGGTCTCTGATGACGGAGGTGTAACGGCCCCACACACACAGTCATTCTGCTATCCGCAGAAACTACAAGGAGATGCTTCCAGTACACGTAGGGTCTGTGTGGATCATGAGAACAGAGGAGGAAGTGGGGGGAGAACCAGGAGGGAGGATCAGGTGGGGGGAGGGAGGGCCAGGAAGGGGGAGGGAGGGCCAGCAGGGGAGAAGGAGGGTCAGGGTGGGGGGCAGGAGGACCAGGGGGAGGGGGGCCAGGAGGGGGGACAGAGGGCAAGCACGGGAGAGGGAGGGCTGGGGTGGGGGGAGGGAGGACGGGGGATGGGGGACCAGGAGCCCACAGAAAGTACTGAAGAGACAGCTGCTGTTGACCCCGTTGATTTCTCCAACTGGTCACCAGCTGCACCAAGCCGCACCTGTGCACACGGTTCGTAGTCACTGTTCTGTCCTGCCCACTGCTCTCTGCCCTTTTGTTGGGGGGCAGTGTTTCCCCAGCTTTGGCATACATCAGAATCCTCTGGAGGTCTCCTATAGTGCGGTGTGCTTTGCCCACCCCCAAAGTTCCTGGCACAGTCAATCCTGGGTGACTGACAATGAATATTCTTAATGCTCTCCGGGGTGACGCTGCTGCTGACCTCGCAGAGCTCTGGAGGCCCCAGATAGGTGTGTGGTGCCCTCCAGCCACCACTCTTTCACACAAAGCCTGGACTTCAACTCTGAGCAGACCTCCTAAGTTCAATCAACCTTCAAATGAAGTGGGAACTTTAATATAAGAAGTTTCCCTTAAAACCAAAGAATGAAAGTGAATTGTCTTTAAATTATACTCCAGGAACCAAATCCAGGGGTGGGAACAGCAGCTGGACAGAAAGTAGAGAGTGCAGGAGGGAAGCAGAGGGGTGCGGGGGAGTTAGCCACACAGGCCTGTGGACGGCCCCAGCCCACTCCTGGGCCGCACTGGAGTCGCTCCCTCTGCAGCCCTGCTTTAACACAGCTTCGCCTCCCCCAGGTTCCTGGCCCACGTGAGCTCCTACACGGAGACGCCAGTGGTGGCCTGCATCGTGTCGGGGTTCCTGGCAGCCCTTCTCTCGCTGCTTGTCAGCCTCAGAGACCTGATCGAGATGATGTCCATCGGGACGCTCCTCGCCTATACCTTGGTCTCTGTCTGTGTCCTGCTCCTTCGGTACCAACCCGAGAGTGACATCGACGGCTTCGTCAAGTTCTTGTCTGAGGAGCACACCAAGAAGAAAGAGGGTGTCCTGGCTGACTGTGAGAAGGAGGCCTGCTCTCCAGGGAGCGAGGGGGACGAGTTTTCTGGCCCCGCCACTAACACGTGTGGGGCCAAGAACTTACCGTCCCTGGGAGACAACGAGATGCTCATTGGAAAGTCAGACAAGTCAGCCTACGGCGTCAACCACCCCAACTACGGCACCGTGGACATGACCACAGGCATAGAAGCCGAGGAATCCGAGAACATTTATCTCATCAAGCTGAAGAAGCTGATCGGGCCCCGTTACTACACCCTGCGGATCCAGCTGGGCCTTCCGGGCAAGATGGACCGGCCCACAGCAGGGACGGGGCACACGGTGACCATCTGCGTCCTCCTGCTCTTCATCCTCATGTTCATCTTCTGCTCTTTCATCATCTTCGGCTCTGACTACATCTCGGGGCAGAGCTGGTGGGCCATCCTCCTGGTTGTTCTCATGGTGCTGCTGATCGGTGCCCTGGTGTTCGTGATCCTGCAGCAGCCAGAGAACCCCAAGAAGCTGCCCTACATGGCCCCCTGCGTCCCCTTCGTGCCTGCCTGTGCCATGCTGGTGAACATCTATCTCATGCTGAAGCTCTCCACCATCACGTGGGTCCGGTTTGCCGTCTGGTGCTTCGTGGGTAAGCAGCTTCCTCCGGAGCCTCCAAGTCCCCTATTAAGGGCTCACACACGCTGCCCTGAGACTGCCTCCTGGCTGGACCAGGCAGCAACCTTCCTAGAGGGTCTTGGCTCACCTTCTGTGATAGCCAGCAAAGCCAGCTGTCCCTCTGCTGCCTGGGACAGTCAGGGGCTCTGGAAGAATCATGCCGATGATCCACCACCTGCTGAGAGCTCTTCCAATATTAGAACAATCAGTACCAGAAAAGGTCCACTTGAAGTGAACCCACATTTTTTCTTTGCACCTACATTTTTTTAAAAGGACAAAAATGGTAAAAGTGAAGGGGGAAAGGTTGATTGAAATTCTATTTTAGGGCTCAGCGCCTGTGGCTCAAGCGGCTAAGGCACCAGCCACATACACCTAAGGTGGCGGGTTCAAATCCAGCCCAGACCCGCCAAACAACAATGACAGCTGCAACCAAAAACTAGCCGGGCGTTGTGGCAGGTTCCTGTGGTCCCAGCTACTTGGGAAGCGGAGGCAGGAGACTCGCTTGAGCCCAGGAGTTGGAGGTTGCTGTGAGCTGTAATGCCATGGCACTCTACCCAGGGGGATAGCTTGAGGCTCTGTCTCAAAAAAAAAAAAAAAGAAAAGAAAAGAAAAGAAAGAAAAAGAAATTCTATTTTAGAAACTAAAAATTATGAAACAAAATACTATGAAAAAAATTATCTCATTTTGGACAAAATTACATTAAATTAGCAATGATGCTCTACTTTGTTTAATTAACAAGGTATGGGTTAAGTGTGGACTTTTCGGCATCATTTTTCTGACAGAGTTGCATCATTTAAGACCTCTCGCTTCATAGTGACTTTTGTAAAATATTCAAAAGTTTTTCATATTTCCCCACATACTTTCTCCGTCCTCTGACACTGCACTGCCACCCATCCTGCTGCCATTCTTCCTGACATCCTGTCCTCTGCTACGAGTAACTAATAAGCCACTGTCGGGTCCTCAGCTGTCCTCAGCTTTGGGTATGAATTCTAATTGTTCTCTAAATCCACTTATGTTGACATGGTGAAGTCCTGTATCTTTTCTGAGATTTCTAATCTTACTCTGGCATCGATTTATATTGTATTTGCCTTAGGTGTCATCATCTCTGACGATCACTGTTGTCCATGAGGTGTGTGGATTGAGGCAGAGGGATATTTAAGTGAACAGAGATCTCAAAGTTTCTGAATTGCTATTTTATTTCCTTACACAACTTGGTAGCCCTAGGGGTCTCTGACAACATATACTTAGCCGAGGAGGGTCCTTGGGAGCTTGGAGGAGTGGACAAGGAATAGAAGACTCAGCCTCTACACAAAGGAGCAGGATAAGTGTGGAGGAATTGAGTGCCGGTGAGGCCAACACCCTCCCTGACCAGGGCATCATTCTTCCAGACCAGGGCACCAGTGTGCACCACATGTCTGTGTGCCTGGAACATGGTCACTGACCAGGGCCATTGCTCCCTGAGGCCGGGGCATGAGTGTGTGCCACATGTCCTGTGTGCCTGGAACACGGTGCCCATGCCGGTGCTCAGTAAATGCTTCTTTTTTGTTGCTTCAGGATATCAGGGGTACATGTGCTTTGTTTATATATTTGGTTTTTCACATAAATTGGGTCCAGATCATAAGCATGACCCCCCAACTTCTTAAATATTACAAAGCTCCTTTTAAGGAGAAAAAAATCCTTCCAGTCAGAATAGCCAGAAAGGTCTTTGAGGAGGAAAAATCTGAACTGGACCTAAAAGGTAGTTTCTGATAAAGAAAAAAGGAAAAGCCGGAGTGATGGAAGGAGAGGGCACATGTCCCCCGCAGGTTTCTTGCTTCTGGAGACCGTCCCCTGCCTTCCTACAGGCACTTTGCCCAGTTTGTCACTGTTCTAAGTCCCCTGTCAGACTTCAGGAGGATTCTCTGAGAGGGCCCCACTGACTCATCAAAATTTTGACCATTTATGTGACTTATTCACAATCTCTTCGTTCCACTGCAATATGCAGGAAGAGTCTGCTCTGGACAGAAGTGACAGAGGGGCAGAGGTGTCTCCGCTGTGTGCTTGTCGGAGGCATCAGGAGGAGGACACAGGTGCACCAGACTTGCCCGGTCAACCCCAGACTTAATGCAGGATAGGGCCTCAGATTCCAGCGCAAATTCACCCCAGCACAGGGCCCATTCCCCTGGTAATACTGCAGCTGATTTTTAAAAATGAATAAACTTTTAAAATGTTTCATAGTAATTATACATTTTCACATTATATTAGAAAAACCACACACTTGTGAATCTGGTGATTTCACAAATACTATTGCATTGGAAGAGACTATATATAGTTTTTAAGTGAGTTGCATTAAATAAAAATGCCAGTCTTAACCTAGTACAGGGCCATAGGACTCCTAGTAATAATACTAACTTAGTCCTTGTCACCTTCAGCCATCACACTGAGGGCTTTACTTATTTAATTTACTTATTTTAGCCATTCAATCCTCACAACAATCTCCATTTTAGAGACAAGGAAACAGCCACTTTGCTGAGGTCATGGGGTTAGAATATGACAGGGCTGAGCTCGTGCTGTAGCCACCACATTGGAGACGGAAACACCGCTGTGCCCACCACCTCCCCACACCTCCTGCTCTCCATGTCACCAATGAGTAAACTGAACTTCCAAGAAGTTAAATAACACCATCAAGGTCAACAGGAAGTCATTCCAAGAGCTGTCTCTAGGATTCAGTACAGCCATGCTCAGATCTGGGGCACCCCCCAGGTGTCTCTGAGCAGACTTTATTTGATCAGAACATCTCAGATCGATTCACATAGGGTGTCAGGACTGGCTTCGTGGACATAATGACCTGTGCAAAGGGTCCTACACTTGGCTTAATGCTCTGCTCCTGCATCCTGAATTCTTAATAATATCTGAACATGCAGCTGTTTTCATTTTGCTGTTTTCATTTCATTTACTGAAAATTCTGTAGCCTTCTTTGCATAATATCCATGGCTTCAGAAGCACCAGAGCCATTTTGCAGCAGTGGCTGAGGACCTGTGCCTGTGGAGTCAAACAGTGCCAAGTTCAAATCACAGCACCATCACCTCCTTTGTCTTGTGACTTTGGGAAAGTCAGTTAACTTCTTTAGACTTCAGTTGGCTCATCTGTAAAAATGAAGATAATTCTATTAGCCTTGAACTTGTTGCTGTTTGGGGCTTACATGAGAAAATTTGGGGGAAGGCAATAAGAAATGTTTATTTCCTGCCTTTCTTTTAAAAATCTAAAGTGCTCATTGTCCTCCAGGAAGGACAGACCAGCTATCAAAGGCCAACACACAAACAAGCCTCTGCTGACTCAGGCTGCCCTCCTCCATATCAGGCAGCAGCAAACTCCCTGAGCGCCTTTTCTAATCTTGCTAATATAACAAACTACAAACTCCCTCCAGAAAGTGCTACTTGCTGACACAGAAGACTGCCACCCCACCGGCCGGGCAGTGGGCACAGACATCTGGCCTCCAGCAGGCAACAGGTGTCTCTGTGGCTCAGCCTGCATTCAGGAGGGGTCACTGGTGTTTCTGGGCACCTGCTGCTAGCCCCTTTAGTATCATAATAGCTTTCAGCATCATTACAGCCTTTGTGAAGCTGCCTTGTGACTAAGTTTCACCCAAAACAAGAATTCTCAACCCTGGCTACACCACTAGTTTCACCCTAGGCTGCTTCTGGAACATTCTAAGCCGAGACTCTTCCCTACCATGATTTTCTGATTCAATTGGTCTAGTGTGGCCAAGTGCTGGGTAATTTTTAAAGCTCCCTCAAGTAGTTTTAAAGTGCAGCCAGGTTTCAATAATCTAGATCAGTGGCTCTCAAATTTGGTGCCAGATTGGCAGCGTAAACATCACCTGGGAACTAGTTAGAACACGATTTGAACACCATCCCAGATAACCAGATCAGCACCTCCAAGGGTGACGTGGGCGTTCAAGCCTTCCAGGTGATTCTAATGCATGCTCAAACCTAACAGCTGCTGCTCTAGAAAGAACAGATTACCAACCACGGCAGATAATCTACTTGCAAAACTTCCTGTTTTCAAAAACAAATGTTTGCATATATGAAATATATCCATCCCACAACACCAAATTGGCTTATAAAATCTTATAAAATAAATATCCCATCTCTAAACTTCTGAGCTTGCAAAGTATCGAATTTTCCTCTCTATCTGCTATCTCTCTGTACATAGTATAACTTTCCTGGGGAAACATTAGAGATAACAGAGCTTCTTATGAAACACTGGCTACTTTTTTAAAAAAGATTTACATGGTTAGGCTGTCATAACTTGATAATCTTCTTAGACACATTTTTTTTTATCCAATCTCTTCAAAATGAATCTTAATTGCAGCATTTTTGTAACAATATTTTGCTAAGCTCTTGACCTTCAGAAAAGCAAACTTACAGAGCGAAAGGAGGCACAGGCCCCAAGGAGATTCTCCAACAAGTTGCTTTTCCTTCAGACAAAGAAAATAGTTCAAATAGCAAATGTTTATGAACTCCAGAAAGGAAGCCCAGAGCAGAGCCCATGTCCCTCCTCCCAGCCAACACAGGTCTGTGAAGGGGCATCTTGAGGGAGAGCAGAGTCTTGGGGAACATGAACCCACAGAGCTTGGGAGGACACTGGGCAGTGGCAATTTCCAGGCACCTTCAGGTGCACTGTTCCTGGAGGGCCTTTGTCACACACCCACCATCTCTCCCCAGAGCTCGCTGCCATCCCACCTGGGAAGCTGCACATTGTCAGTGGGAATTTGTTCAGTCTCTCTGAGGAAAGTGAATTCTTGTCTGTAGATGTAGAGGATAGGTTGTAATATGGGCAATGGACCTAAGTAAATCCTATCCCAAAATATAAATATTCCAAAAAGAAGACACACCAGATGGTCTTTCCCTGAGCCATCACCTGAAATCCTGTAGAGAACTGACCCAAAGCAGCTGCCGTGAGAAAGGAAGGGGCGGAGAGAAGGGTCAGGAA